AGCACAATCCGTATGTACACTTAGCTCAAATGAGCGTTTTAAGAAAAAACGAAAAAGTTATCCAGTCCACTGAGATATGTCTACAATTGAAGCACAGCGCCTAATTTGCCATCCGCTGATACTAAACGAATGATTCATTTAAGACCACCTCCACATTGCAATTCAAAGCCCATTAAACGGAAAGATAATCGGTCAGAATTGGATAGGTTTTGATGAAGCTAGGAATTAACTGCGTCGGAAATAAGGATCACGACGATAATCCCATTTGTCATAAGCGGATTTCCGGAAAATTGGGAAACTATTCGAGTGTAATTAAAAAGACGCCGAAATTTCTAATTCAGAGCAAAAGAGATAAAAAACATTCGAAAAAATTAAGGACGTTGGCATAATATCTTTGATTCTAATATCTGCAATAAATACACTTTACTCAACTTTTTTGGGCGGCAGCACCAATTTGAATTTCAAATTTCGGCAATGCAACACGCATAATATTGTAATATTGCGTGTAACGGCTCCACAAATAAGATTTGTTTCCGTTTCGGGTGCTTCGGAAAAAGAAATATATTGCTGTTTTGAAAAACGCAAGGCCAAATCGAAACTAATTTTGGCGTGGCGGCGAGAAAATTATGGAAATTTTCAGAGCGTATGGGCGTTCAAAAACCCTGCGCAGTGCGTGTTTTCATTTTCTGTTTACTAATAAAATTGAATGGACTTTAGAATTAATACTACTATTATATTTGTTTCTGGCAGCTCAAGTTGAGAAACACCGTCTTTAGATGGCCATATATGATCAACGAAAACTTTGGCAACACAATGCAAAACATTAGAAACAGACAGGCTGAAACCTTGTATAAGTAAATATAAAAACAAAAACTCGCAAGCTTAATGAAACTTCAATCAAACACATGTATGTATCTACTGTAAACAAGAAGAGTAACGAGCTCTCTTTCACAATTTACTGCACTACATGCATATTAACGCAAGAATTTTGTAATTTGATATTATGTGTGTTTTAAATTAACCTACAAAGTAATTGCCGCAAGTCCGACGCTCAGATTTTGTAAAATTTGGCCCACACTTCGAACAAACGCCATATATCAGTCAATAAAAATTTTAGCTCACGGTTTGGAGGTTCAGCAAAGATACTCAACGATTTTCGCGTCGATTATATGCAAAACGTGGAGAGCGGCCACAGAGAAAGCACAAAACTGGAAAAGGACTTTGATCATACCTTTCCCAGTTTTGTGCGGTAAGAAATCCCAGTCTTGTGCGATAAGAAATTTTCGTGAAAATCTTACGTTCAGCAGTAAAAATGGGTACGACACCTTTTATGCCAAAACCCGCAAAAAACTGCCGCAATTTTGTCAACTTTCTAGTCTCGCCCGTTTCTGCAGACTCTTGCACATTTCGTGAAAAAAAACTTTTTCTAAATTTGTTCCAAGTTTTCTCAAAATCTGAAAGTCGCCCTGGGGGGTACTTCCACTGTTAGTTAAAATCAACTCGCTTTGTTATATCTTCGGTTAGTGAGCCAACTGGCCGTTTCGCATCAAAACGCAAACGCCGCCCGGAGTAGCCTTCGCCACAACTGATCAAACAAAGCAAACCGAAACTTCATACAGTCCACTCCCGAAACGGGGAACCAAATTTGGCCTTGGGTTTCGTGACTTTAATTCATAGCCTTTTTTTTAAATTTTATAACGTTTAAAAAGTTTTCAGTTTATGCGTCAAATACTGGTTTTCCTCTTGTTGATCAACGTCTGGCGGGTTAAATGTTGGCCATTCTGTCCCTGTCATGACCTGCATGCCCAATGTGTGAGTGGAATATGCCAATGTGTTAGAGGCTACCTAAAAGATCCTCAAACTGGTTTATGCAAGCGAGCCGTCGGCAAGTTTCAGCTCGGGCGAGCATGCAGCTTCACCAGAGACTGCAAACATATACATCATGTTTGCGTAAATGGAGAATGTAAATGTGCGCCGAATTTCGTACAGGTGAAAGGAAAATGTCGTCAAGGTAAGTTGTTCTTTTGGTTTTCCAAAGCGCATCACAGTGAAGTGTTAACTATGGAGTTTGCACTCTTGTAGAAAATTAAAACACGATTTCTGAGTCACTGTATCAGCCGTGGACATTCAAAAAGATCGATTTTGAGATTTTTGTTTTAAAATGACCGGGGGCATCCTACTAGCGTGTTACCGTCACATTTTTGCCCAATTCTTCCGTTAACCTACTGTAATTTACAATAGTATGATTTTACAGTAATCGGGTATTACTCAAAAAGTACGCATCGTAATTGGCTGAAATTGGTAGTATAAGGGTTTTGGCACCTTATCATTACAATGGATGCCGAATTTTGGCTGTTGGGTTACTGTAACATAGTGAAACCTTTGTTCGGCCGCACAAAATCGGCCGTAAAAAATTTTTTCCTGAAAACCCACAGCCAATTTTTGGATATATTAATAAGCATAAAATTCTGCTATAGAAACGTTAAAAAAATGTGCGAAAAGTCATAATACCAATTTCGTGGTATAGTGGATTTTGGTCAAAATTTGTAATCGGAAGGTCCCGGGTTCGATTGCCACTGGACGAAAAATGTAACAGGCTGCATAGAACCTTAGGAAATCGACCCGGATGGGTTTGTTAGACACATTTAAGCCATATAAGACTATATCCAAGTCGTTAATGCAAATTTTAACATATTTTTTGAAGGTAAAATCATCGTTTTGGTTTTATTGGATTTTCGGACAAGCTTAGTTGCAGAAAACCGGTAAAAATAAAACACATTGGGTTTTCGAGCATACTCAATTCAATGAAAGCGAGTTTTCGGAACCAAGGTTACTGTAACATAGAAAAACTAAGGTTCGGCCGTTAAAAATCGGCCGTAAAATTTTTCTTTTCAACGTCAAGCTGACAGATATTTGATTTTCGGAATCACCGTAAAATTCTGCTCTATAAACAATCAAAAAACGATTTTTTTATTTACAACGATTTATTTTGTGGGGAATTACTTTTAAATTTTAAAATTGTAAATAAAACTATGTGAGCGAAAGAATTAGAGTAAAATACTTCAAGGACAAGCTAAAGCCACGAATTCAATTAATTGCAGGCCAAAAACTCAAAATAATTTTTTTCTTATTTTCGCACAAGATTTATGGACTTGAAAATTTCGGTGCAAATATAAAAAATCTGTGACACGCAAAAAATGGAGTTAAGACACAGTATAAGATGTCTTTAGAACAGAATTTTACGGTGATTCCGAAAATCGAATAACTATCGACTTGACGTCGAAAAGAAAAATTTTACGGCCGATTTTTAACGGCCGAACCTTTGTTTTTCTATGTTACAGTAACCTTGGTTCCGAAAAATTGCTTTCTTTGAATTGTGTATGCTCGAAAACCTTGTATGTTCTATTTTTACCGGTTTTCTGCAACTGAGCTTGTCGGAAAATCCAATAAAACCGAAACGATTATTTTACTTTCAAAAAATATGTTAAAATTTGCATAAACGTCTTGGATATAGTCTTATATGGCTTAAATGTGTCTAACAAACCCATCCGGGGCGATTTCCTAAGGTTCTATTCAGCCTGTTACATTTTTCGTCCAGTGGGAATCGAACCCGGGACCTTCCGATTACAAATTTTGACCAAAATCCACTATACCACGAAATTGGTATTATGACTTTTCGCACATTTTTTTAACGTTTCTATAGCAGAATTTTATGCTTATTAACATATCCAAAAATTGGCTGTGGGTTTTCAGAAACAAATTTTTTATGGCCGATTTTGTGCGGCCGAACAAAGGTTTCACTATGTTACAGTAACCCAACAGCCAAAATTCGGCATCCATTGTAATGATAAGGTGCCAAAACCCTTATACTACCAATTTCAGCCAATTACGATGCGTACTTTTTGAGTAATACCCGATTACTGTAAAATCATACTATTGTAAATTACAGTAGGTTAACGGAAGAATTGGGCAAAAATGTGACGGTAACACGCTAGTAGGATGCCCCCGGTCATTTTAAAACAAAAATCTCAAAATCGATCTTTTTGAATGTCCACGGCTGATACAGTGACTCAGAAATCGTGTTTTAACGAAAAAAAACTTTTTTAACCCCATTATTCTCAGCTGAATTGATGGATTCAACGCTCAAATTTTGATGAAACTTGACGCAAATCTAGAACGTTTTTTTTCCAATACATACGCGTGATTTCTTGCATACGCTTTACACCGACTTTTGTCGAATGCTGGAAAAATGTAAAATCTTTAAAAATTTTGGCATAAAGAGATTTGCACCTTTGTACGTATTTCTACAGTAGGGGATAGCCTTTCCACAAAAACCGTTTTTTCCATGCGAAACTAGCAAAAATATAGCCAAAAAATGTTCCCTCTGACAGGTCCCCACGCTTTGTGCATTCTCTCGTTGAAAATGGTGGTTACTACTTTTTGAAGTCTGTTTTCGCATCATGAAATTAATATTAGCCTTTAGCATTACAACTGGGTGATCATGGTTGTCTCGAGAGCATCGAATGTGGAAAAGGTCGAGCCGATTTGCTATGCGTTGATTCTCAGTGCAAATGCGCCGTGGGGTATATACAAGTTGGACGTAAATGTGTCTTAAGTAAGTATTCATAAAAAACCAACATTCGGAGATTTGGTAAAAATAAAGAAAATCAGCCGTATACTAGCCCATTCGCAAAGTCGCTGGAGTCGTTTCGGCGACGTGTACTCTGAGAAATCTGGAACACTCTATGAAAATGCTAATACATAATACATTATGTCCAGCGCTCGACATTCTGCAAGCTGTCTTTAAGATGAATTTCGTGGTAGTTAATTATTGACGAATGAGTCATGCACTTTTCAAGACCTAACACATTTTGCGTTAGTCTGGAGTTTTCTCTCCAACACGACTGATTGATGAGTTTCGAGCGCACACCTGCGGCCAAACATTATATTCGCAATTGAGAGTCCTTGCCTCCTCTTCATAATTCCAAAGGGCAGGAATTATGCGATTATTTCTACTACTACTTTTTTACAATGCAGGATCGCTGGCCGACGTTCGACAGCCGAAAAGGGACAGCAATTCGCTCCATCGGCACAGAGATCGTCTACCGCAGAATAAAACAATTAAGAATCTGGCGCCGTTTAACGACATGGGGTCGCCTTCAAACACAGGAATTCCTCCGGGTAAGTTTTTTTAAACCGTCAAAAATTTATGACGCTTTACAGAAAAAAACTAACAAGGGAAGTGCTCAAAGTTTGACGAAACCTGGCACAAAATTTCGGATAATTTTTTCTTACAATAAGACCTACGCCAGACTCCTAGCGCGCGTTTTGCAAAAACGACCGAGATGTTTAGATTTAAACCGGCAAAAATTTGACACTTTTTAGTAAATTTTGGTGTGAAACGTTTCATGTTTATTTCTACCGTCGAAGGTCATTTTTTCGCAAAAAAAAATTTTTTCCGCACAGGAGCGGCCAAGATGTGGTTAAAGCATGTTTTTCTCTCTGGCCGCTCTCGGCCGTTTGCGTTTTCTCTCGGCAGAAAAGTTGTTCCGAAAGCGCCAGCTAAAAATTTTAGGAAGCCCAAAGGGGAATGAATGTTTTTGCATTTTTGAAGCATTTTGAATTATTCTTCAAGGCGGGTATAGTTGAGAATAAACGGAAGCCTAATTTAGACAGCGTTTGCTCTGCCGATACTGCCTGCGCAGGTTATCCTCTCGCCTACTGCGACGGAGTGTGCAAATGTCGGGAGGGTGCGTTAAATGCAGGAAGTGCGTGTATTCCGAATCAGGACGAGCCAACTGGAGCGAGTTGTCCGGCCGATCAAACCTACGTCAATGAAGTTGGAACTTGCCTAGCGGGTAGTTGAAGATCGATCAGCTCAGTTAAAATATTTTAGAAGCAACTCCTGGAAGTCCTTGTCAATACTCTCAACAATGTGGAGCAGCTGAGCCTGGTGCATTTTGTCAGAATCTGCAATGCCGCTGTATTTATGGGATGAGTAATGCCGAAGGCGGTTCGTCTTGCACATTTTTGAACAAAAATTGCACTCGAAAGAACCAGATTTGGGTCAGCGAATTAGGCGAATGCAAAGAAGGTAAATTTTAAAAATATGCTATTTAGCTTGAATCTTAGTGATCTTGCCCGGAGCTGGGCCGTGCACCCATTCAATGCAATGCACAGTCGTGGTACCGGGTGCCCGATGCTCCATGGGAAAATGTGTTTGCCCGGCGGATCTTCCCGTCGCTGTGGATGGAACGTGCGGTTCCAATTGCACTGCTGATCAAATTTTTTCATCAATTACCGGAAGCTGTCTTCCAAGTAAGGAATAGCAGTTTTCACTTTTGCATGAAACTATTTTTCCCGTAAATTTGGCTTAAGTTCAAGCTTAAACTGTTATAGCAGTACAGCCCGGGGACTCGTGTCTTTATTCTATCCAGTGTCACGCAGTTGAACCAGGCATGCTCTGCGATAAGGGCAAATGTAGGTGTCCTCATGATCAAGTATACTCCGGACAACGGTGTATGAGCCGATGCCCTCGTGGCTTCATGCGGAATCCAGCTGGGATTTGCCAGCCAGGTTGTAGATCTAACCAAATTGAAAACGCCGGTGTTTGCATCGACGTGGTTGCTCCAGGTCAAAATTGTTTAGTGAACAGACAGTGTACTGGGGGATCACAATGTCTCAATTCGGCATGTACTTGCCCTCCACACATGAAACCTTTGAATGGAATTTGCACCTTGCGTAAGTCTTTATTGATTATGCTCAGGTACTCTTCAAGCATCCATAATTTTATGCGCGTTTTCAGTACGATCGGCTCCACTACAAAATTGTACAATAGATGAACAGTGTAGTGGTGGTTCGCACTGCGTCAATTCTATTTGCACGTGCCCACCGGGAACATCTGTAATGAATGGACAATGCGTTACACCGATAACAGGTTAGTTGAAAACAAACAGACCCAACATTTTTCTAGTTCCGCCAGGATCGGCGTGTAACCGTGCCGTCCGATGTAGCGGTGGTTCTGTTTGCTTGGATAATACTTGTACATGCACACTACCCCTGCTGGCTATCAATGGATCTTGCCAGTACCCCCCGCCAGGTATCCATTTACAAATTTTAAGTTTTAAAAATGTTCAATACGTAACGTGAGAGATTTTTTTATCTTTAGTCCATCCTGGCGGTTCCTGCCCTTCCGGTCGCGAACGATGCATTGGCGGATCAATCTGCCAACAGGGAACTTGTGAATGCCCGTTGGGGACGGTAGTCGAAGGCACAGAATGCAAGGTAGTTGAAAGAGCACGGCCGGGTCAGCCATGTTCTGCTGCGCGGCTTTGTCAAGGGCATTCGTACTGCGTCCGTGGGGTTTGCACTTGCATATCAGACTTTATCCAAGTTGGACAAGAGTGCGTCAGACCCAACACTGTCTTAGCAGGAAATTCGTGCGCAAATGGAGAGGCATGCGGTCCGAATGCGTATTGCAACGCGAATAAAGTAAGCATTTTCAAAACGTTACAGTGCAATGTATAAATTTCCACTTAGATTTGTGATTGCATTAGTCCGACTATCAACGTTAACGGAATTTGCCGCAATGCAATGACTGCGCTACCCGGAGATCCGTGTGAAAACGGAGAGGTTTGTACAGGTGGTTCAAACTGCCAAAGTGGAAGATGTGTTTGCCCGCCTGGTATGGCCAATCAAGGCGGTATATGCAAGGACTTGACTGGTACTTTACAACCAACGATTTTTAAAAATTTTTAATCCATTAAGGCACTCTTGGCCCATGTGTAGATTCGTCGCAATGCGTCGGGGGCTCATTTTGCGACCAGTCTCGAAATGTTTGTGTTTGTGCTATTGGACAGATGCCTGTTGGAGGTGTTTGTATCGAACTGTTTGCCCGGCGCTACAAACGCGGAATAAATCAGTGCTTACATGACAGAGATTGTCATGGTCTTTGTTCTGGATTACGATGCCGTTGTGAACGACAATCAGGTGCAATTTATGGGATTTGCGGCCGCAAGACAAATTCAATCTCAAGCACCCATTCACTGACAAGTTCTCCTCGAGGTAACCTATCTAAAATTTTTGTTATTCGAACGTTGGCTTTGTTTACTTTGTTTCAAGATACTGCTGTTTTTGTTGGTGAAGGGTTTCTCGCACTTTTCAATTTATAGTCGCACTGGTAGGTGTTGGACCAGGCTCCCGATGTGGAATGCCTGGTTTAACCTGTGTGAACGGGTCGTCATGCATTCAGGATGTATGTCTTTGTCCTCACGGCGCAATTGCTTTAAGTGGAGCATGCATGCAACGCAGGAATGGTACGCCTGTTTAACTTTTTCCTCACATAACTTTTTTAGCCGCCGCCGGAGAAAGTTGTGCAAACGGAGAGGAATGTAGCGACGGAACGTTTTGCGATGCACACAGTTGGCATTGTAAATGTGTAAATCCTGAGATGATTGGCATAGGAAAACAATGTGTTCCTCGATTACGATCACCCCCCGGCTTCCCATGTGACAACGGCGAAATTTGCACAGCCGGTTCGACTTGCGAATTGTCCACAGGAAAATGTGTTTGCCCCCTGGAGTTGATATTGCGAGACAAGCGTTGCGTAGAAAGGCCGCATGTCGGTCCCGGCGCCAGGTGCGACCGTGGGGAAATTTGTAGCCGTGGATCAGTTTGCAATCCTACAACATCCGTGTGTGTATGTCCTACAACTCATGTTCACATATATGAGGTGGGTGATCAAAGTTTCTTATTTGCAAAATAGAGAAATGCTTTAAATCGTAAGAAATGAGTTCATGAAAAAACTTTAGGAGTGCCGCCAAATAGTTTATGTACAATATGGCGAATGGTGTGGTGGCGAAGAACGAAAATGTGTCGGTGGTTCTGCCTGCGTAAATGGCCAATGTGGCTGCCCATTAGGTACAAAATACAAGCATGGCGTCTGTATGACCATTCCGAAGCGGTTGCCGGGTGAATTTTGTGAAATTGGCGATGAATGCTTAAGTGGAAGTCTTTGTCAGAGAGGTCGATGTTATTGCCCTGAAGGACAGTTATTACGCACAAGAAGATGTGTCACACCTCTGGTCGGTAAGCTTCATAAACCTATGTAGACGTTCTTTTAGTTCCCCTTGGGGAGACATGCGAACTGGGCGATGCCTGCCTAGGTGGTTCAGAGTGTACGAACGGAATTTGTGTATGCCCTGCTAACTTAGCAACAGTGAACGGAGTGTGCACTGCAATCCAAACAGGTTATTCCTCCAGCTGTCTTTGTGTTCGTGTTGTTTTTCTTGACTTTGGTTTTCTGTTCGCCTGTAGTTTACCATTTTAATAATTGGCCTGACCTACAAAAGTGTTTTCAGCACCCGTATTTTCTCGCTGCGACGCCTCGCACCTATGCGAAGAAGGAACAACCTGCATTAGGAATAGATGCGAATGTAAAGAAGGATGGGAATATCGACAGGGAGAATGTAAACCAAGGTTGTTTGCTAGACATGGCGAACACTGCGCAACAAATCAGGCATGTCCAGTTAATGAGCACTGTAGTCCGAAAAAGATATGTGAATGCAAAGTAGACTACGTGTTCTCCAATGGACGGTGCATCAAAAGACCTAAAAAAGGTTAGTGAGCATGGGAAACTAAAAACTCTTTTCGGATTTCAAAAAAAAGATATATGGAGAAATCGGAATTGTCTAAAGTAATTTTGTGGGTGTGCAATATGCAAACTTGTGAAAAAAATTTGAAGAATAAGGACACAGGGTGCAATTTTTATTCTATTCTTTGCTTTGAATTTTAAGTCCGAATTCAATTTACTTGGGAAGGCCGAATGAAATTAATAAGGCTTAGGACATTCCGATTTGTCCATTTTCTGATTTTGTACTACAGTCTCTTTAGTTTTTCCTGGAGAGGCTTGTGAAGGTGAAGATTTCTGCCTTAGTGCCTCAAGATGCGTTCATGGCAGGTGTCAGTGTCCGCCAAGTCGTCCAGTTCAATCGGGTCACGTTTGCACCCCGGAATCTGACAGTAAGTTGCTGTTTGCTAAATTTTAATTCCACAAAGTTACGAACCAATTTTTTTGTTTATAATTTGTAGCAGAAAGTAAATTATTTCTGGTTCGTAAACCGCGACGTCATGCGGTGGATGATAAAAACATAAATTTTTTGTCCATGTTTCTGAGCCCCGATGATGAGCCGCGTCAAAGTGTTCAACTTGGTGAACTGTGTGATCGTACCTTGTCTGACTGTCAGGTTGATAACGCTGTGTGTTCCGATTCCGTCTGTCAGTGTTTACCGGATTTTGTTCAAGCAGGTCCTTTGTGCGTCGGTCGTAATAAAAGTGAGTTGACGGGTGAAAACTGACCTTGTAGTTTCTAATCTTGTTGTTAACCCGGAACAAACATGTGGAATGGGCGATTTCTGCGACGGAGGCGCCGTTTGCATCCACAAGATCTGTCAGTGCCCTCAGGGAACATTTGCTTTCGGGCGGCTCTGCGTGTCAAACGAACAATTTTCGCCAAAACCCAATCCCACCGCTCCTGAAGTAAACAATGGACCTTACCACAAAACCGTGATAAAAAGTAAGTTTTCCATTGATAATAAAGATCCCTTGCCGCAGGACAAGTATTATACAGGGTGTTTCAAGAAATCTGGAACAAATGACTTGCTTATATCTCTGTGTTCTTTGCAGCTATCAAAGAATTTCTTTTTGCTTCTAAAAATTGACAGCGTGCGTTTTTAGAATCTCAAAAAAAATTTTTTCGTCGGCGGAGGGCCCATTTCTCGGCGGAGAAAATTAGGGCCTTTTTTAAAAATCACAGCGTATTACGTGGCGGAAACGCCGTTGCACCGGCTGAAATCAAGTTTACGTAATACCTCCATCGATTTTACGGTATGCTTTTTTTGCGTTTTCGATTTTACGCACTTCCGCGGATGCGCGGCGGAGACCTCAGATTTCGGCGGACTTTGTTTTGGTCCTTTGGCTTTTGCAATTCATGTTGGAAAAGAGGTTGGGGTGATTTTTTGTTGTCATCCGATGCACATATGGCAAAAATTTCGTGCTTTTTATCCCCGGCGGAGGAGTCGGCGGAGGCTTTATCAAGGGTAAAAACAAAACTCCGCCGATTTCTCCGCCGGACCCAAAAAAATCAAAAATCTTTGAAAGACAATGCTGCTCTGATGGATTCTTGTAGCTGAGATTTTTCCCGGACTCGTAAGACTGCTTTGACCCTTTGATAAAGCCTCCGCCGAATCCTCCGCCGGAGAAAAAAAACACGAAATTTTTGCCATCTGTGCATCGGAAGACAACAAAAAATCACCCCAACCTCTTTTCCAACATGAATTGCAACATCCGAAGGCCCAAAACAACGTCCGCCGAAATTTGAAGTTTCCGCCGCGCCTCCGCGGCGCGCGTAAAATCGAAAACAAAAAAATGCATACCGTAAAATCGACGGAGGTGTAACGTAAACTTGATTTCAGCCGTTGCAACGGCGTTTCCGCCACGTAATACGCTGTGATTTTTAAAAAAGGCCCTAATTTTCTCCGCCGAGAAATGGGCCCTCCGCCGACGAAAAAAATTTTTTTTTGAGATTCTAAAAACGCACGCTGTCAATTTTTAGAAGCAAAAAGAAATTCTTTGATAGCTGCAAAGAACACAGAGATATAAGCAAGTCATTTGTTCCAAATTTCTTGAAACACCCTGTAATTATTTCGGCAAAATTTTTTTCTTCTCATTTCATTGCTTAGAGTCCCCAGGAGCCGATTGCCGCCTAAATCCTGCAATTTGCACCGGCAATTCATATTGCTTCAATGGCGTCTGCGTGTGTCCAGTGGGGTACGAGAATTACAATGGGGAGTGTCGTGTTCCTCGGATCTACGGTAAGTGTCCACCAAAAGAGCTATATTTATTTTCAGCCGAGCCGGGCCAGAGCTGCGAACGACCAATTGGTCAAATAGGGGTGGTAGAATGTAGCGGAAACTCGGTGTGCGCAAATGGCTTTTGTGTCTGTCCCAACGGTGAGCCAATACAACGAAGTGTATGCGTCACTGTGAATACAATTGGCAAGTTGATTAACATATTGTATATATAATATATAAAATTATATTTAAGCTGGTCCAGGAGAACCTTGTGTGGACAAAATCACCCGATGCACAGGTTCTTCAAGCTGCATTAATGGCATTTGCACATGCCCTGCAAGACAGAGCTATTTAAATGGCCAGTGCGCCACGATAACTGTAATTGCACCATTGCCAAGTCAACAATGCAATCCAAATTCGCTTTGTCAAGGAAACAGTGTATGCCGCCAAAATGTATGCCAATGCTTGCCAGGGACCGTCTTAAACCAGCAGCAAAATGTTTGCCAGCCCATCGTGTTGGGTACTCCGAGTAAGGACTTACATTGAATAAACTTTTTAGGATTGGGAATTAGACATCTCGTAAGATTTTCTGTATAATTGATTTTTAAATAAATTTGCTTACGCTGTCCCATCTCAAGTAAAATCTGAGCCTAATAGTTTTTACACATTACATATAACAGCAGCAGTTTTAAACAATGTTAGTCCGATTCCCTATGTAAAGCTAAAACAGAAAATGAAATTCACTGTTTTTAGTGAGAGTTAATGTTCTTCCTGGACAACAGTGTTCTTCTGGCGTTGGTTGCGGCGGAGGCGCAATGTGCGTTTCAGGCGTATGTATTTGCGTAAATGGTCAGGAAGTTTACAATGGACGGTGCACGAACGGCCAGTTTTACCCATCGTTAAACCCTTCAACTCGGGCTCCAGTGGTCTTTCGGGGTATGCAGCATTTTATTTTTCTTATATAAAACTTGCAGCCAACCCAGGACAAAGTTGCTCAGCACCTGGTACTATTTGCATGGGAGGCTCTCGTTGCATCCAGGGTCTTTGCGTCTGTGATTCGGGCTTCTTTCCGCAAGGAAACCTCTGCGTTCCGCTTCCCCCAGCACCTCCACGGCCTATTCCGCCTTTTAATAATCCGAGAAGAGCACCAGGGCAACTATGTGACGTTTCCTGCGACCCAACTGGTGCGTGTTCGTGCGGTGGTGGGTCCATCTGCAACAACGGAATATGCACCTGCCCGAATGGCCACCATGTTGTGAACAACGAATGTGTTCCAATCGTTGTTTCTACCCTTTCTGTAAGTCTTGAATCTTTTACAAGCGACCGTCTTTACCTGTAAAGTTGACGCAGGTACTATTTTTAGCCAGCAACGGCCGAGCCGCGGCGTAAGACTGCACTGCCATCACAACGTTGCGACTATCTGACTACATGTTTGCACGGCTCATCCTGCGTTCTTGGGACTTGTCAGTGTCCTCGAGGATACATTCCAAGTCCTGATCTACAAAGCTGTGTTCATGTCCTACTTCATCCGCAGAATAACCAGTCACCGTTTATTTCCCGCTTAACATTACATGAGCATCCAAACAGTTACGAGCATCTAGGTGTGAGGTGTGCAACAAACAACGACTGTAAGCAGGGTGCCGCCTGCTTGAGTGGAGTATGCGCTTGTCCGCCAAGCACTATTGCTAACCAATCAGAATACTGCGTTCCAGAAAAACGGAGTGTAAACGTTATTGAACGTAAAAATAGCATCGTTGCGGCGCGTGGTACACTACCTGGTATGCCTTGCTCAGTTACAGCTACAGCTCCGTCGGTCTGCAGCATGGGAGCAATTTGTAAGCCCCTTAACAATAATTTGGCCTTCTGCGTATGTGGAGAAAGGAGCGTAGCTAACTCTGCTGGAAAATGTACTACTAAATTACTGGCGGATACAAAAAAGAGTAAGCACAGCCCGAATAATCCCTATGCGGTAGAACAAATAATCTAACCAAATTTTGATTGCAGATCTTCCCGGTGCAAAATGTGGAAGCCGCAACAGATGTGCTAACGGGGCAGAATGTAAACATGGATATTGCCTGTGCCCAGATGGTACCCACAATAGCGGCAACGGATTGTGCGAGGCCAATGATCCTTCCAAAAGAAAAATGCGGAAAGAACCAAAATGTAAAAGTAACGCGGATTGTACAGCTCCTTCCTTGTGTCTGGAAGGTAAGTGTCGCTGTCCACCGGAAGCGGTGGATCCGGCAGTCACAGGATGCGGCTATAAAGTTAGCTCAGGTAGGCCCACCGTTTTATTTAACTTTGCTTCTTTGCCGGCACGGGCGGTATTTAGAGCTGAAAAATCAATTTTTAGTGAGGCCTGGAGCTTGGTGTAGTGAAGACCTTGGGATCTTATGTCCTCTATATTCGTACTGCTATCACAATGTTTGCTTATGTCGAAATGGAATTATGAAAGATGGAGACGCATGCTTACCAACATCGGCGCCGAAATCTGCCGAGCTTATATAGTGCAGTTTTCTGTATATATGAATTTTTGGTTTTCATTCCACGTTAACTATTCGTGATCTCTGTTACTAATTACATTGTGTGTTGTTTTGTGTCTGTTTTAAATAAACAATGTTTTATCGTGTCTCCATAGATATGTTGCATAAACTGGGGTTTTAGGTCTTCGACTGTATGGATCGACTCCGCTAACGACTTCCGCCACAACAAATTACCCTTATGACGAATATTCTACGTCGGCACCTCCGTCCTTCAACAGAAATCTGCAAGCAATGTATAACCAAAGAGTATCGCATAATGGTCAAGTAATGGATTCTACAATTTCACACGACGACGATTCCGTAGTGAGCAGCAGTGCCCAAAGATTCCAACACACCCATCGTTTTCAACATTTTCCACCTAATCAGCACATAGCCACAGACTGTCCGATAGATGGAAGACATTGCCAACTCCCCCAGTGCTTTTGCTCTCGAACTGGATTGGATATTCCCGGTGGGCTCTCTGTCTTAGACACTCCCCAAATGGTGTTGATTAGTTTTGATGGAGCTGTAAACGATCGAGTCATAAACCGCCTTAAAGCACTCTTCGACGGAAAATACCGCAATCCAAACAGATGCCGGATTTCAGGAACCCTATTTGCTACTCATGTACTAAACAATTACGATCAAACACAGTGGTTACTCAGTCATGGTGTAGAAATCGGGTTGAGTTCAATGAGGTGAGTTCTGCGTGGCAGAAATTGGTGTGTTTCCGGCGTGGAATGCACACGATGATGGGTGCCCTCTTCAAACTATAAATATATCTATTGTTTGAAGATTTCTGCGAAATTGAACTTATTTCTGCACCACAAAAAAAAACAGTTGTCCTATCTGGATCTTACTAGGGAAGTATTTCACGTGTGGCAAATTTGGATAAAACTTACAGTGGAAGTACTCCAAGCGCGACGCTCAGATTTTGATGAAGCTTGGCACAAATTTAGAATTATTTTTTCTAAGATATATGCGAGAATCCTAGCTCGCGCTTTGCAGAAACAACTGAGATTTTTAGATCGAAAGTCGGCCAAAATTTAGGACTTTTTGCCGAGCTTTGGCACAAAAAGTTTCAATGCCTATTTCTACGTAAAGAAAAATGTTTCTACAAAAAATCAAAATTTTCCGCACGAAACCGCCAAAGTTATGGCCAAAAAGCGTTTTTCTCTCTGACCGCTCTCCACGTTTAGTGCTCTCTTGGCGACACAAATCGTTCGATATCTCGGTTGCGCCCGAAAAGCGCGAGCTAAAATTTTCGGAAATTGATATTTAGTCCATACCCGACGTGTGTTCAAATTTTAAAGAAAGAGCGTCGCACTAGGAGTACTTCCCCTGTTAGCTAAAATTAAAAGCTTAAATTTTCAAAACATACGAGAATCCTATTTCGCTATTAGCAGAAATCATAGTTTTTTCTTAATGAATGAGTGATTATTGAAGCGTACAATTTTCTAGCTGAAAGTCTATTTTTTCTAGCGAAAACAAAAAAGTTGTCCGCAAAAATCCTTCTCCTCTGTTCGGCTCTTTTCATTTCACGCGCCCTCTGGAATACAAAACGTTGAATATCTCGGCCGTTGCAGGAAAGGATGAGCCAAAACTTTCAGGCCTTTGATACGTGGCTAGTTAGGAACTCGTATGAAATATTTCAAGAAAACCTGAGTGCTCCAACTGGAAGACGTCCCATTTATTGAATCTTTAGATATAGTTTTCGGCATGATATCAAAATTTAAAAAATTTCCGTCAGCACTGTTGGCACCCTGCAAATAATTGTGCAAACTTTTTAGTGGCGACAACATGGTAGCCGCAAGTGAACGAAGATGGTACGACGAATTGAACGCAATTAAAGCTGCTTTGGAGAAGTTTAGTTATGCGAACCGTTCTGCAATGGTCGGCGTTAGAGCACCAAATATGGAGTCATCAGGTTAGAAAAGCTTACTGCTTTTTATAGGAGGCCAAAAACTTTTTTCTAACCTCGAATCGCCTTCCTTGCAATTAGTAGAAGTAGAACCCGACCGCAGAGAAAGTCTATGACGAACCTCTCCTCAAGCCGTTAGCTTGCAGGCATTTTTGTCAATGTGACTTTTTCATTTTTGGGATAAAAATGCGCCGTCGGCTGAAACGGCTTTTCTGTTGATGGAGTGGGATTGATTAAAAAATTTGTATGTTTCACTCATTGCGAGTAAGGAGATTCGGGTGGCAAGAAGATTGTACCCAGCATTATAATTGATTTATGCCTTACATATGGTTTAAAATCACCCTGCCGACTTTTAAACCCAACAGCTTTAATTGACTTCTTGGTGTTTTCAGCGGCCGATCGCTTGATAATATCCATTACTTGTGTGAGAAATATTTCCAGGGAGTTCCCAAATGCGAACATTAACACATCTTGGATACAAGTACGACAGTTCCATTAAGGTCAAAGATGGTCCGTTCTGGCCGCAAACACTGGATTTCAAACCGCCGTGGGAGTGTGCATCCCAGACGTCGTGCACACGAGATGCCCATGCTGGACTGTGGGAGCTACCATTGGCTGCGTTCTACCGTAATGACACTCCGTATTATAAACTGGAAGAACTGACTGCAAGCCTTTCGAGCCCGGACGACTTACTCCAAGTGTTATTAGAGAACCTTAGAATCCACGAAGAAGCCAGTAGGGCACCAATGCATTTGCCGTTAAACGCAAAGTTTCTAAACATGCTGCCGGACGCTGGGGTGGTAAATGTATTACAGAAATTTATTACTGAAGTAAGCTTTGGCGTATAATAACCGTTTTGCAAAAATAGAAGTAAACTTGACCCTGTTTAAACAAACTTCATTATAGGTCCAAAAGAAGGACTATGTTTACATCGTTTCAATAAGACAGGCAGTTGAGTGGATTAGCCGACCAACAAGGCTCGCAAAGCTACACAATTTTAGGCAGTGGAGTTGCCGTAGGACAAGTTCTGGGACCATCCAACCTTGCGAGGTAAATATCCTTAAACACACGAATTTAAGTTGTCAGCCCATACAGTACTTTCAAGCGCTTTACGGAATTTCCTTTCCTTTCCAGAGCCAAGTCTGCATAATATAATACAATGCATATTCTTAGGTCCGCCCCTACGTCTTCATTTTATTTAAGCTCTCTTTCGAAAGTCAACATTCAAAGCTTTACTTTCAGAACCCATCAGTATGCACTTTTATGCACACTAGGCAAGGAGGCCCCACGCCTCATTCTTTCAAGGTTTGCGGAAGTTGCCCGAACGTATATCCCTGGCTTGATGACCCTGTTGGATCAGGAATCTCACGAAACTAATTCAATTTACGGACTAGAGATCATAAACGAAAAAAAGTGAATAATATGTACAATTATTCTTCCTTGATCAAATAATTGACAATTTTCTGCTTGTTTTAAACCATAAAATTACAATAAAAATAAAAAAAAAACAATTTTTTGGGGGCTGTACTTTCAGATCCCACAAGGCCCGGCCGACGATCTTACGCCGCCGGGCTGGATTCGGGAAATTTTTGATTGTACGCTTTAATACTACATAACATTTAATAACGGAGCCAAGAATTTGCAAACCTGTGGAAATTGTTTTAGCAACTCCCTCATTAATTCTTTTTTTTCCCGACAGACATAAGGCAAAGAAGCCTCTATGCAATGAATCGCAAAAGATCAAAGAAATTTATTGCTATTTGTAGAAAGATTTTGCTGTGCCGAGTTTCATTTTGGCCTAAAATTGCCTTCTAAAATTTTTCGTTATGGAAACCTTTTGCTCACAAGAGGCTACACAGTACGTTCATTTTCTTTCACTCGCCATTTTTCGGCCTTTGATTTTTTTCTTTCACAAAAAAAACTGAAGTTGCTATAAAATTCCGGCATCACAATTCTATAGAAAATGAAAGCACAATTTGGAACCTGTTTGATTTTTTGTTCATATTGCAGATGTGAAAGGAAAAAAGAGATTTAAGGGGGTTGCAAGCAGAGATTGCCACGGCTCCGGAGACGGCTCTTGGCTCCGGCTCTGAGCGGCTCCGGCTCCGAGCCGGGAGCCAGAGCCGGAAATTTTGGGGTCGGCTCCGGCTCCCGAGCCCAAAGTCGGAGGCTTCCCAGCGGTCAGAAAAGTAAAAATTTCGTGATCTTGTTAAACCAAATTGCTTGAAAAACACTGCGGAGGATGTGACTTGACTGCAAAAACGTTGGCTGTATGATCTCTGGCACTAATAACTTTTATTTTCGGAAAAAAATTTAAAAAAAAACATTTTGCATAGGAGCCGGGACTCGGAGCCGGAAGCCTTTTTTAATTTTGCGCGGAGCCAAGAGCCGGAGCCGAAATTTTGACCGTGGCAATCTCTGGTTGCAAGTGACTGTGTAATAACCTTTTTTTCCTACTCGTCACGGTTTTCATGGCGGGACACAATTGTTTCTGCTTTTGTCCAATTTTTGGAGCACTTTGTAACCGAGTGTCCTTGTCTACCTGACGCCGGTTCTGTTTTTCGTGATGTTTATGCTCGTTAAGTCTTTATTGTTCAGTTGCCCCGTTAAGGTTGTAGGTGGGCTCGTTTGAAAGGGCTTTGCATCCTGATTATGGGTAGAATATAAAAAATATTTGTATGTAAATTAAATTTCATTCCTTTTTTTGACTTGTCAAAGTTGCGAATAAGCACATTCAAAATGGCTTCCTTATTACAGAAAAAATATAAGACAATTGTACACACGATCATTTATGCAAATCAATTTCTGCGGTGATAAGCAAAGGGCTGATCTCCAAGCCAAGACGTTGAATTGTAGATGAGGCCTATGAGATAGGGCGTTAAGTTCAGGCTTAGCTGAGACAAACCGATTGTATTAGCCGAGGGTTCTTAAGGGTAATCCCAGTCTCAGCCTAAAGGTAAGCCCAGTCTTAGGCTTAGGCTTAGGCTTAATATATACACTGAGGTTTTAACACCATTTTTTTAAGCCTATTGAAGCCACTGCTTCAATTCGCGCACATATCCTGGTCTCGCCCCGACACGACACTCCGTTGGCCAGATAAGCGCTCGGCTTAATGACGTCATATCGCTATATCTCGGGAACGGCTGAACCGATTTGAAAAATTCCGGCTTCCCTTTCCGCCCCCCATAAAATAAGCATAAGTTGCAAACCGGACGGCGAGAAACGGCCGAAAATGTTTTTCGAAATTTCTCGGTTTTTCGCCTCCAGCCGCGCGCCCCGCCAATCGCCGTTCCCAAAACCTATTTTTTATGACATAAAATTTTGGTGCGCATCGAATGGAAGTGGTCCCGAGTCGCTAGCTGCAAAAAAAGGCGTCATTTTTGAAAAAGTTACTGACCTCAAAAATTTTTTATGTTTTCTTCTGTTTGAGAGGTTGAATCACATTTGCTGGTGGTTTTAGAATCGCCCCGGGGTCTATGTACATATAAGATGATTTTTCCCTTCAAGTATTTGTTGCTTACAATTCTATGGCAAATCGTCTTTTAGAAACGTTTTTTCCTTTTACACCTTCTTTTGGATTTTTTTGCGGTGTTATCGGTTATTTCGTGACATAGTTTATTACTGAATGTATTTCTATGATTTCTTTACCTGTTTGTTATACGTTGTTGAACAAAATTTGCATAATATTTTTGTCTGCTTACTTTGCACATTACTAAATTTTTTTGGTAATCTTTTCCGTATTTCCCCGGATTTCAGTGGCTTCATAAATTGTTTTATGAGCTTGCCAATACGGCCAAGCTCAACGGGCAAACAGCAGAGAGTTGAAAAAATGCAAATTTTGGTTAACTTTCCTGCCTATCAAGTTGCAAATTTTTTATTTTTTATTTTTCCTGTCATCAGAAGACTAAGCTTTCCAACAAGCCAATCCCACGCTTAACGGATGAAAATCAGAAATTAGCAAACTGCAAAGGAGCCCACTCCCAAGCTCAACGGGCAAAAAGCAAAAAGTTGAAGAAATGCAAATTTTGCCAAATTTGCATAAATAGCAAGGCGCAAAAAATTTTTTTTTATTTTTCTCATTCTCAGGACACCAAGCGCTTTCGAATGAGCCCACTCCCAAGCTTAACGGGCAAAAGAAAAAATGCGTGATAGAGTTCATGCAATCGGAGAGGCCGTCAAGTCTGCAGAAGTTGCTTGTTTTCCCATTCGAAAGTCGGTCTGTGCAGTTTTAAAGGGGATTTTTTTTCTAAGGCGTTTAGGCTTAGGCTTAGCGTTTAGGCTTAGGCTTAGCGTTTAGGCTTAGGCTTAGCGTTTAGGCTTAGGCTTAGGCTTAGGCTTAGCGTTTAGGCTTAGCGTTTAGGCTTAGGCTTAGCGTTTAGGCTTAGGCTTAGCGTTTAGGCTTAGGCTTAGCGTTTAGGCTTAGGCTTAGCGTTTAGGCTTAGGCTTAGCGTTTAGGCTTAGGCTTAGGCTTAGGCTTAGGCTTAGGCTTAGGCTTAGGCTTAGCGTTTAGGCTTAGGCTTAGCGTTTAGGCTTAGGCTTAGGCTTAGGCTTAGGCTTAGGCTTAGGCTTAGGCTTAGGCTTAGGCTTAGGCTTAGGCTTAGGCTTAGGCTTAGGCTTAGGCTTAGGCTTAGGCTTAGGCTTAGGCTTAGGCTTAGGCTTAGGCTTAGGCTTAGGCTTAGGCTTAGGCTTAGGCTTAGGCTTAGGCTTAGGCTTAGGCTTAGGCTTAGGCTTAGCGCTTAGGCTTAGGCTTAGCGCTTAGGCTTAGGCTTAGGCTTAGGCTTAGGCTTAGCGTTTAGGCTTAGGCTTAGCGTTTAGGCTTAGGCTTAGCGTTTAGGCTTAGGCTTAGCGTTTAGGCTTAGGCTTAGGCTTAGGCTTAGGCTTAGCGTTTAGGCTTAGGCTTAGGCTTAGGCTTAGGCTTAGGCTTAGGCTTAGGCTTAGGCTTAGGCTTAGGCTTAGGCTTAGGCTTAGGCTTAGGCTTAGGCTTAGGCTTAGGCTTAGGCTTAGGCTTAGGCTTAGGCTTAGGCTTAGGCTTAGGCTTAGGCTTATATACTTAGATTGAGGAATAATCTGAGATTTTCCTGGTCCGGGTAGCCAGTCTTAGGCTTGAATTTCACTGGATCTTTTTGAATTTTCGCTCTAGCCTCTCCGGGAAGTATGTGTTTTTGGTGTTTAAAAATTTTTTTTTTTTTTTTTTTGGCTGTAGGTTCTACATTCGATTTCACGTCTTTTGGTTTTTGTCCCGTCTTTCTAGCTCATCTCCTTCATGGTTAAACTTGGCCTTAAAGTTAAGCCTTTATGCGAGAGAGAATAGCGAAGAGAGAGGACGGCAGAGGAGAGAATTAACTCCAAAAATAGCCGTTTCCCCAGCCGAAACTTGACTAGCGATTCGGGTAAAGGAATTCGAATTTTTTGTTTGTTGCAAGCTTTCGGGGTTGCTTGCGGTGGGGTGGGGGTGCGGCGCGGGTGGGGTATTTTGGGAGGATGGGGTAAGGGGTGATTTTTTTCCTTTTGTTGTGCATGCGCTACAATGCGCCGATTGCACGTAATTTTTGGCTGTTTGCACTTGATGTGCAAAATTTGCAAGTAATTTTTGGATTTTTCCACTTGATGTCCAAAACTTTTGCAGTTTTCTCATTTTCGTCGATGTCTTGGATTTTTGGAAGTCTTAATTCGGCTTAGCGAGTAGGCGCAGGCTTAGCGAGTAGGCGCAGGCTTAGCGAGTAGGCTTAGGCTTAGCGATCAGGCTCAGGCTTTCAATATATTTAGATCGAGGAATTAACTCTGATTTTTTAATCAATGGTAGCCAG